GTTGTGCTTTCAGTGTCTTATTTCAGTGGCATAAGAAGTGAATGCACAATTCCACATGGCAGAGATCTGTGCCTCACAAGTGTAACATCTTGGCTATTTTTTGTGCTTCCTGTGTAAAAAAGATCTCACCAAATTCAAGGAGAAACACAATTCGGTGCGAAACTGTGCGTCAGCAACACAGTGGCTTATCATTGCAGGGCTAAAATGCTCATAGCTTCTGAAAATTAAGAGCTTGAAATCATTGTCCAGAGGAGGGCGACTAACATGATCAAGAGTCTGGAGAACAAGCCCTATGAGGAGCGGCTAAAGGAGCTGGGCATGTTTAGCCTTAAGAAGAGAAGGCTAAACACAAATTTCTTTTTTTCTGCCTTAGTGTAGAAATTCACATTTCTCCCTGTTTTGTTGGTTTAGTCAGAAATTTCTTGAAGGTACACAATAACAACAGTAAGTTGCTGTGAGTTTTTCGAGCTGTTTGGCTGTCGTATACCAGAGCAGGAACATCTCTGACCTCACACACCACACCAGCTTGGTAAAATGTTATACAGCTGTGTGGAAGGGGCCTCAGAAACAGAGGAATTCCAGACAGCAAACAATCAAGTGCCAGTTAACAGCTCCCAAACAGAGGACGCCTCCAGGAACAAAGGCCAGGCTATATCTATACCGATACCCTCACTGATTGACTTTGCAGACTTCATAGCTACTCAAATTGCAACATTTACACTTTCTTTAAACAGACAAGGGTTCTGGATTGCTGTGAGTTTTCCAGACTGTATGGCCATGTTCCAGAAGCATTCTCTCCTGACATTTCGGCCACATCTATGGCAGGCATCCTCAGAGGTTGTGAAGATACCTGTCATAGATGTGGGTGACGTGTTAATTCTCTGTAACTTGTGATCCCACCAGTTCTTTGTGGCAGGCAGATGGTATTTGTGGCACAAGTTCCAATGAATCATCTGAGTAACGGTGTTGTGCCTCTGCTTGGAGTCTGTCTGCATGATCTTCTTGCAGCAACTGAGGATGTGGTCTATATTATTTATATATTAATATATTATATATATATATTAATACAGTATATTCTGGCGTATAAGACTACTTTTTAACCCAAGAAAATCTTCTCAAAAGTCAGAGGTCGTCTTATACGCGGCTGTAGTCTTATGCATGGGAGTCGTCTTAACTCTATATTTTAACTGGAAAAGTTGGGGGTCGTCTTATACACCCAGTCGTCTTATATGCCGGAATATACGGTATATTATAATTATGTTTATGTTTATCCTGCTTTTTCCTTCTGCAAAGGAGACTCAAAGCGTCGTTGAAGGCTTTGCCAGAATCACTGGGTTACTGCGACTTTTCCAGGCTATGTAGCCATGTTCCAGAAGCATTCTCTCCTGACATTTCACCCACATCTATGGCAGGCATCCTCAGAGGTTGCGAAGATGGCTGCCATAGATGTAGGTGAAATGTCAGGAGAGAATGCTTCTGGAATATGGCCAGACAGCCCTTAAAACTCGCAACAACCCAATGATTCTGGTCATGAAAGCCTTCGACAACACATCTTTCTCCTACAGGTATATATACATTCAATTGCCAACAGAACCATTGCAGGCAAAATGTCAGGAGGGAATGCTACTTGAACAAGGCCATACAGCCTGGAAAACTCACAGCAACCCAGTGATTCCAGCCATGAAAGACTTCAACAATACAAATAACAACAGTGTTATGCTTATAATAACACAACACCACCCGAGTTGGCCTGCTATGAATGGATTAGAACAGGGGTAGGGAACCTTTGGCCCTCCAGTTGTGGTGGACTTCAACTCCCACAATTCCTTGAGGCTCGGCATTCGCCCCAAAGGCTTACCTTGGCCCAATGCCGAGCCTCAAGGAATTGTGGGAGTTGAAGTCCACCACAGCTGGAGGGCCAAAGGTTCCCTACCCCTGGATTAGAAGCTGAGGAAGCGATTCTATTTGGGTCGAGGAGAGAGAAGGAAGCCTTTCTATCCCGGCATCTCTTGGAAGGAGGCAGATGTGGCTCTGATAAATGATGGGTGTCCAGCAGAAACCTGCATCCCACTCCCTGGCTTTTATTTTTCCCTTTGCGAAGCCCACCCCTTCCTCCCCTCCCCAACCCTCTCCCGCTGGGCTCAGATATCTCCCAGGCTTGTATTCCCTGATTGATCGCCCTCTGAAGCCATAGAACCCATTAGCTGCCTCTGGGATCAGTTGCCGATCAATAAGCCTCTTAAGCAGGAAAGGATGCATTCCAGGGCTGCCTTAAAGGGACAGCCGAGAAATGCAGAAAGGAGAGCCGCAAACTGCGCAAGGGCTTTGAGTCAAATATGTTGTGCAGCAGCGGATTTTACCCAGCGCCCAAAGTCCAAATGCAATAGACTCACAGACAAGAGGAAAAATAAACAGAAAAATCTTTACTCTTTACTCAGCAGAGATGAATAATAGAATCATAGAATCGTAGAGTTGGAAGAGACCTCATGGGCCATCCAGTCCAACCCCCTGCCAAGAGGCAGGAATATTGCATTCAAAGCACCCCTGACAGATGGCCATCCAGCCTCTGTTTAGAAGCTTCCAAAGAAGGAGCCTCCACCACACTCTGGGGCAGAGAGTTCCACTGCTGAACGGCTCTCACGGTCAGGAAGTTCTTCCTCATGTTCAGATGGAATCTCCTTTCTTGTAGTTCAAAGCCATTGTTTCCTTGCGTCCTAGTCTCCAGGGAAGCAGAAAACAAGCTTGCTCCCTCCTCCCTGTGGCTTCCTATCACATATTTAATACATTGCCCTCATCATGTCTCCTCTCAGCCTTCTCTTCTTCAGGCTAAGCATGCCCAGCTCCTTAAGCCGCTCCTCATAGGGCTTGTTCTCCAGACCCTTCATCATTTGAGTCGCCCTCCTCTGGACACATTCCAGCTTAGAGTCAACATCTCTCTTCAATTGTGGTGCCCAGAATTGGACACAATATTCCAGGTGTGGTCTAACCAAGGCAGAATAGAGGGGTAGCATTATGGCACATAAACTTTCAATGTTGCATACAAAAATCAAACAGTGCAAGAAACTTGTATAGTCCTTGTAAGTAACACAAAAAGAGAGCAAAAATAAAGCTTGAGTAAATAGCTATTCCACCATAGACTCCTTCAGAGTAGCTTCTCCAAGAGCTCACCAGAGCAAAGCCTTTGAGCATAGATCTCCTCAGAGAAAAAGCTCTCTACCACACTGTATTCTAAAAACTCATACAATTATACCCTATCGGGTGTTGCCCAAGTTTGCTGGATGATCTACATTACCAGCTGCACATAATAATTACCATCATAAGGTTTTTCTTCAACACACACGCAGTTGGTATCGCAAAAAAATAGTATGCACACAGGATCTGAAAGTCATCTTTGGCCATGGTCTGAATGGCTTAGATCAGTGGGTATTGATTTAGATGAATTGAATCTTAAGGGCCCCCAAAGGCCATCTAGTCCAGCCACTTTCCGTGCAGAAATGCTTCACTAAAGCATACCAAGTCATTTCTGAACCCAAGGAAGAATTATGGAATCCTAGGCTCCTTCTACACTACCATATAATCTGGATTATCAAAGAAGATAATCCACATTATCTGCTTTGAAGTGGATTATACGAGTCTACACTGCCATATAGTCCAGCTCAAAGCAGATGATCTGGATTTTATATGGCAGTGTAGAATGGGCCCTAGAGTTGGAAGAGACCACAAGGGTCATCCAGTCCAACCCCTTTCTGGAAGGCAGTTCTGGGCATAGCAGTTCAGAAGGGTGAAGAGCAACATAACCAAAGCACTCCCAACAGATGGCCATCCAAGCTCTGCTGAAAAACTAAAAAAGAGTTTTTCTTAGCAAGATTTCTTTGGGCGCCTTCATAGAATACTAATGTTGAAAGCAACCACCAGGACAATTCAGTCCATCCTCTCTATTGTGCAGGAAGGCACAATCCAAGCCCTCCCGATAGATGGCCATCCAATTCTTCTTTAAAGATCTCTAAAGCCCATCATTTTCCAAGGGAGTCTATTCTACAGATGATCATAGAATCATAGAATCAAAGAGTTGGAAGAGACCTCATGGGCCATCCAGTCCAACCCCATTCTGCCAAGAAGCAGGAATATTGCATTCAAATCACCCCTGACAGATGGCCATCCAGCCTCTGTTTAAAAGCTTCCAAAGAAGGAGCCTCCACCACACTCCAGGGCAGAGAGTTTCACTGCTGAACGGCTCCCACAGTCAGGAAGTTCTTCCTCATGTTCAGGTGGAATCTCCTCTCTTGTAGTTTGAAGCCATTGTTCCATTGTGTCCTAGTCTCCAGGGAAGCAGAAAGCAAGCTTGCTCCCTCCTCCTCCCTGTGGCTTCCTCCCACATATTTATACATGGCTATCATATCCCCTCTCAGCCGTCTCTTCTTCAGGCTAAACATGCCCAGCTCCTTAAGCCGCTCCTCATAGGGCTTGTTCTCCAGACCTTTTATGTTTATGTCTCAGCACTGCTTCTGTAGTAAACAATGCAACACACAAAGTACGTAATAGGAAGGAGTGCAATGATCCTCTACTCAAACCTAATGTAGTGAATGCAAAAAGGAAAGGTAAACAAGTTAGAGTCCTAGGGTCGGCTCTGGAATCCCTTCCTAAGCAAAACAGAGAGTGAAAGGGCAAAAACAGATATGCATTTTGGTTGTATTTGGGGGGGGGGGGGGGACTTTCCAGTGGTCTCTAGAAGTTTGAAATGTTTTTGTTTGTTTGTTTGTTTGTTTGTTTGCTTATAGTTTGGGAACTCTGTATCAGTCCTTTCCGTGTTATTTTTGCCTCTGAAGCACAAGTTTCTAGTTAAAGGAACAATGCAGGGAAACACATCTGCATTGCATTTCCCTTTAAGCTATAGTTGGAGCCTTCTTGGACCCCATGTTGGGAGACAGGTAAGATATATCTAAAATACTTAAAAGGTAGACAGATAGACCCATCTCCTTTTGTTCCCCTTCTGCTCCTAGATTTTTCCTCAAGTTCTTCCTCAAATGTAACCAGAACTGCCTGAAGAATGCTGGGAATCCCAGAGACATGCGCCGGTTCCAGGTGAGAGATGCTCCGGTTCCAGGTATTTCCTTCCCATTCTTTTCCCAAAAACTCCAGTTGGACTTCGGATGCCCCTTAAGATGGTCTGGAGGATTATTATTTCAACTCCCATTAGCAACAGGAAAAAAATAAAATATAAATATTTCTTGTGTTGCAGACACTATCAGCCTTTTTCTAATAATTCAAGGAAAAATTTCTTTTCTTATATGATACTAGCTGTACCCGCCACGAGTTGCTGTGGCCAACCTTCCTCTTTCCCTCTTACCCTCTTTCTCTCCTTTCTTTCTCTTCTTCCCCTTTTTTCTTTCCTTCTCTCCTTCCTTCCTTCTCTTCCTCTTCCCTTCCTTTCCCCTTTTCTTTCCCTTCCTCTTTCCCTTCTTTCTTTTTCTCCTTCCTTCCTTCCCTCCCTCTTTCCTTCATTCCTTCTCTTCCTCTTTCCTTCCTTCCTTCTCTTCCTCTTCCCTTCCTTTCTCCTTTTCTTTCCCTTCCTCTTTCCCTTCTTTCTTTTTATCCTTCCTTCCCTCCCTCTTTCCTTCCTTCCTTCCTTCCTTCCTTCCTTCCTTCCTTCCTTCCTTCCTTCCTTCTTTCTCTTCCTTTTCCCTTCCTTTCCCCTTTTCTTTCCCTTCCTCTTTCCCTTCTTTCTTTTTATCCTTCCTTCCTTCCCTCCCTCTTTCCTTCCTTCCTTCCTTCCTTCCTTCCTTCCTTCCTTCCTTCCTTCTCCTCCTCTTCCCTTCCTTTCCCCTTTTCTTTCCCTTCCTCTTTCCCTTCTGTCTTTCTCTCCTTCCTTCCATCCCTCTTTCCCTCCCTCCCTCCCTCCTTCCTTCCTTCCTTCTCTTCCTCTTCCTCTTCCCTTCCTTTCCCCTTTTTTCCCCTTCCTCTTTCCTTTCTTTCTTTCTTTCTTTCTTTCTTTCTTTCTTTCTTTCTTTCTTTCTCTCCTTCCTTCCCTCCCTCCCTCCCTTCTCTTCTTCTTCCCTTCCTTTCCCCTTTTCTTTCCCTTCCTCTTTCCCTTCTTTGTTTCTTTCTCTCCTTCCTTCCCTCCCTCTTTCCCTCCTTCCTTCCTTCTCTTCTTCTTCCCTTCCTTTCCCCTTTTCTTTCCCTTCCTCTTTCCCTTCTTTCTTTCTCTCCTTCCTTCCCTCCCTCTTTCCTTCCTTCCCTTTTTTCTTTCCATCTCTCCTTCCTTCCTTCTTTCCTTCCTTCCTTCCTTGCTTCCTTCCTTCTCTTCCTCTTCCCCCTTTTCTTTCCATTCTTCTTTCTCCTCGTTCTTCCTTCTCTACCTATTCTTGGACTGCAATTGCCAGCAGTCCTCCTGATCGATCTATCTCCCTACCTATTTATCTCTATCTAATCTAGCTATCTGGAGGATGGATGGGAGTTGCAGTCCAGGAATAGGAAGTTGGAACTATGAAGGGATTGCGATGCTCTGGGAGCTGTAGTCCGGAAGCGAGTGCAGATGATATGCTATTGTGTGTTTTGTTTGCTGGGAGAGTCGTTTTTGTGCATGTGTTGTAGCGTCTTTTTGGGTTTTTAGCTTTTTAAGTCCTTTCTGCTGTGTTTTTCAGTGTTTTTATGAGTGATGGTCACTCATTGGCCTGATACGTGTCTTGCGGCCAAATTTGGTGTCAATTCATCCAGTGGTTTTTGAGTTATGTTAATCCCACCAACGAACATTATATTTTTATTTATATAGATTTAACATATAGAAATGGACATGAGAGCCATGTTTAAAAATTGGAAAGGAAGTCACATTGAGGAGAAATGGGCAAGGCTTGTTTTCTGCTATTGTGGAGACTAGGACACAACGGAGCCATAGATTCAAATGACAGGAGATTCCATCTAAACATTAGGATTTATTTATTTCGTATCAAAAGCATTGCATAAATTAGTATAAAACTGATTAAAAATAGAAGGAGCGCAGGCGGCTAAATATCTTTTGGCCAAAAACGGGCAACAGCAACAGCATTGTCGGTAGCCTCCAACAATTCCTCCTCTGTACATGAGGCAGGGCACAATGGACAAGCATACAGATGCAGAGTTGTCTGTTCTGCTCCACAGTCACACAAAGTTTGGGATTCTTTTAGGTAGTGCCATTTTGCCAGGTTGTCTTTTGATCTGCCCACTCCACTACTGAGTCTGTTCAGGGACTTCCAAGTTTCCCATTCTTGGTTTGCCCCTGGAGAAAGACCCTCTGAGAAGTATCAGGGGAGCTGAGGGATGATTTATTGTTGCCGCCGATTTGAAAGGAACCAGTATTCAGGAGATTTTACCCCAGTTCCCAATTTTAAGAAGACTTAGCCGATTTGCAATGGAGGTTGCCGACTGGGAACCAAATTTACCATCAAGTTAGGAGGGAGGCTGTTCAATTGCACCTCCTCCTTTACTAAGAAAGTAATAACTTAGTAGTAATTACACCGTATATACTGTAGCGTGACTGGAGAGAAGAATGTAGATGTATTTGGTTACTTTTCCCTACGTTTCTTCCACCACGTGAGGTAAGTTGTAATATTGTGAGAAATGGCACTTGGTGTTGCAATCCAGAGCAGGGAACGAGGCCTAAGATAACTATCCACCACACTTGGCTGTGAAAAACAATCCTTTTTTATTGAAGAAAAATGGTTACAAAATAAAGGAAAATGCAAGTCAAAAGCCACAGCAAAATCAGCAAACATGAATTTAAATGGACAAAGCAAAACCAAAAGCCTCACTGGGAAATACTGGAATCTGTTAGCAATCCACTAACCGTACTTGATATCCTAGAAATCTTCCCAAACTATGGCCAGGGAACCGGGAGAACTGCCAAGGTCTTCATCAATTCTGAAACGATGCCTGAACTGAGGCAATCAACCTGGCGTATTGCAATTAAAACTCAAGAATCGGTTCCGTGAACCGCCCTTCTGTTTTGAAGCCAATGTTTTTAATTCTTGAATTCGGGAGGATCGACGCAAACTGAGTGTTTTACTTCTGTCTTCCCAAATTTGGCCCCTTCTGTTGTCATTACAGTTAACAGGTGCAGAAGGGAGGGAAAGTTCAAGGTCTCCCTCTGAAACATTCTCAGGAACACTGGTACTTTCATTTTCCAAATCTACAGAAGTTCCTTCCTCACTAATTTCAGGAACATTGGCATTTTCCAAACCTACAGCAGTTTCTTCCTCACTAATTTCAGGAGCATTGGCATCAAAAGGTACATTTCCACTAGCATCAGTAAATATACTTTCATTAGCATCAGTAGGAACAAGCAGAGAATCAGGTTCAAGTTCAAACTCAGGCTGAACCCCAACACTTGGTACACAGAATAGACGGAGCTGAGGCAATCTTCAAATAAAAGTTAACAATTTTATTAAGTACACAGTGTGTGGTTGCAAGACGTAACTTTTCCTTGTTGCACTGGGAATAATACTTGTAACATTAACAGTTCATTCTTTCAAGTAACACAGTATCTTTCTGACGTAGAGCACTTGTTTCAGACAAAGTTTCCATACAGGGATGTTTCCCTTAGTTGATCATCCCTAGATCAAATACTAAGTAAACTATTCTTTAGCCTCTCCTTAGACTAAAAGAATACCAGCTATATTTCACCATTCGGCTGCACTAACCTGAGAAACTTCCAATAGCCAAACCCAGCTTTTCAAAGCTACAAAGCTTTGCTTCACAAGTCACTCCGCCACCTTTCCTTTCCTTCTCTCTCAACTCCTAACTCCTCACTCTTCTGAACCTAACTCCTGACTGCTCACTCCTCTAAACCTAAACCCCTGATTTTTAACTGTCGTTTTTTTCAAACTCTCCCCTCTAAGCTCCTCCCACTTCCCTCTCTCCTGCATCGGTCTCCATGGCAACGCACATGGAGGACTCCTCTGACTTAGGCCGCTCCAGCATTATTGCAGCCAATCTAAACACAAATACAGTTAAAATCATACAATTTATAGTCAACTCCTGTACACCCTCCCTCATGGGGGGGGGGGGCATCCAGTTGGGATTTCCTGGTTTAGCTGCCCAGAGGGAGACCCTTGCTGTTGCTGGCGGGATGCCAAGAGGAGTGGTAGTTCTCATAAAGCTTTCCCTTGATTTGAGTCTACTGGGAGGAGGCTGGTGGCCATGTAGTGGGTGGCTTTCACAGTGTACTGCTTGAACACCAAGCACAAAGTAACTGCACGCAATAATATCCTGCAAAACTTACTTGCAACACATGGGTTGCAGACCCAAAATTAATAAGAACATCAGTCCTGGCCTTGTCTTACTCAACTGCCGAGTATTCCTGTCCTGTTTGGCATAAGTCTGCCCACGCAAAACAGGTGAACGAAACCTGCAGAATAATCACAGGATGTGTTGTGACTCAGCTGGAACCACAGAGTGTCTCTGATGAGGATAATGGGACTCAGGTTCACAGTCTGGTTCAAAATGACCCTGTTACAGACAATGAAGAAGTTCAGTTTCCCACAGCAAGGAATGAGAGTGTTGATACTGAAAATAGCCAGGTGCAGGTGCAGATTGACTCAGAGAAGGAGGACAGTTCTCAGCAAGCAGGGAAACAGGCTGACGCTAATGAACAGACTGACCTTGACGAAACAGGAACCTTAGATTGGGCTGACCATTTGGAATTCAGCGTTCGAAGGAGTGTGAGAATAGCTAACAAGAAGGAGGCCAGAGGCCAAAGAAACGCCTTCATGTTTTGCAAAAGGTATTAAGCAGGGTGTTTGGGACCAAACCTTTGTCAGAGCAACTTTTTGTTTAACCAAGAAGCTTGCCTTTGCTTGCCTGGATTATCCTGCAGTTCTTGTGTTCATATTTTCAGGACTTTGTCATGTTCTCTTGGGTTTTTGCTTTGTTGGAGCCTTTTTGGATTAATTTTCAAAGTGCTATTTTATATTGATCTTTTGGAACATTACTTTTGCTTTTAAGAACTTTTTGGATTGGATGAAGGTGGAAATGAAGAGGGAAAGGATGTTGGAAGAGTTTAAAGAAATAAAATTGTCATGGTTTCATTGTATACAATTAGAACAATGGGTAACAAATTGGAAAAAAATAATAGAAGTGAAAGCCAACTCAGTCAATTCGAACAAATAATACAGAAGGGAAGGACTGTAGAAGAACACGAAAACTTGAGAGGTATAATTAGCAAAATTTATAAGATATTAATTGAAATGAAAGATGAAAAAACAAAAAAGTGCACCCTTAAAGAGATTTGGGAAGAAGATTTAGGGATAAAAATAAGCGAAATAGAGTGGCAACAATTATGGGGACAAAGACATTTAAAAAATTTATCGATACGAGTTAAAGAAAATTATTACAAGTTAATATGGAAGTGGTACTTGACACCGGTAAGAATAGCATATATGAATAAAAATAACTCAATAAATTGTTGGAGAGGGTGTCAAGAACCAGGAACATATATACACATGTGGTGGCAATGTAAATATGTAAATAATTTTTGGGAGAAAGTATTTAGAGAAATAGAAACTATAATGAATAAAAATAGATAAAAGTCCTAGTATAGCCTTACTATCATTATATAACGATAAGCAATTGAAAAAGGAGGATAAAGAAGCGATAACAAACTTACTAACTATAGCAAGACTGCTTATAGCAAGGAATTGGAAAAAAGAAATGAATATACAAATAGAGGAGAGGTATAAAGAAGCATGGAAAATAGCAATAAACGATAAATTGACATGTATATTAAAGGTTAAAAAAGGTATATGGAAACAAAGCGATTTTGATGCTGTATGGGGAAGATTTGTGGTAAATGGATTAAAAAATAAGGAAGGAAAATTACCGTCACAAGAAGAAATGAAATTTTGGACAGATGAAATGTAAGAAGGGTGGCTTGAAATGGGTGGAGGGGAGCACTGTGGTGGGAAAAGGGGGAAAAAATGAGAAAAAAAGGGGGAGAAATGTTAGAGTAAAATAATAAAATAACATGTTAAAGAGGTTGATGTACTTTAAAAAGAAAAAAAAAGTTTAAAAAAAAAAAAAAAGAACTTTTTACCTTTTATTTGTAATAAATGATAAAGACTTCTGTCTGTGTGTAGTTTGGTGTTTTCAGTAAGGTGAATCTACTCTGGAGAAATTACACTGCTTAGGTATTGCACCACCTAACATCCGCCGGGAAGTAGCAGCCAATAGTGAAAGGACCAAGGCAGGGACATCTCCAGCTCATCCCGTGTTTGGGTATCAGCCAGCACGTCAACGACTTAAATCTAGAAATACTTTTCTAAGATCTACAGAGACACTTGCTGGAACACCTCAGCAAGCGAGAGTCCAAAAGTGGCAGGCTCAAACCCAGAACCTCAACCAATGGCTGATACCAAATGAGAGACTCCCCCCTGGGCGCACAGAGGACTGGGCGACTTGGAAGGCACTCAACAGACTGCGCTCTGGCACCATGAGATGCAGAGCCAACCTTCAGAAATGGGGCCACAAAGTGGAATCCTCAACATGCGAGTGTGGAGAAGAGCAAACCACTGGCCACCTGCTACAATGCAACCTGAGCCCTGCCACATGCACAAGGGAGGACCTCCTTGCGGCAACCCCAGAGGCACTCCAAGTGGCCAGATCATGGTCAAAGGACATTTAATCAACTACCAAACTCACAAATTTTGTATTTTGTCTGCTTGTTTGCTTTGTTCTGTTAGAATATAATTGACTGGTTTCCCTGACACGACAATTAAAAACAGTGGAATCTGGTGCAGTCTCCTTCTCTGGAGGGTTTTAAGCAGAGGATGGGTGGCCATCTGTCAGGAGGGCTTGGATTGGGTCTTCCTGCAAGGAATGGAGTTGGACTGGATGGCTGTTGGGTTCCTTCCAACTCTGTGATTCCAAGAAGGCATTTCCACCCCAAAGGCATAAGAGCCATGCTGCAAACCCCCTTTTTCTCTGGAGAAGTGATGTCCAGTGTTGCATTGATGAGGAGGAAGATGATGCATTGTGGATGGACTGCAGCTCTTTGCCCACCATGCCTTGGAGAGAGTCTCATGGCACCCCCAAAGAAGGAGGCTTCCCTCTCCCCTTTGCAGCCGCTGCCTTGCAACCGCTTGTCTTGTGTTGCGTTCCCTCATCAAGGCGGGTGCCGCTTGTCTGCTCCGCCAGGGCCTGGCCCCCGCACTATGCAAATGGGGATGGCTGTTAATCATGTAAAAATGTCACAATTACCATATCGTTAGGAGAGGAACCTGATGAGGAAACCACCAGCCGGTCGGTGCTGGTTGCGCCCCTCGTTTCCCCCAACAACTTGCATCTCTCCATTCATTTTATTTGATGCGTCGAAATGTTTCCGTCTCACCTTCCGTAGAATGAAATCAGTTTTAGAAATATAAAATAGGAAGCAAAACAAACTTAATGTACAGCTTGGATACATATTGCTCTGATTCACAAATTAAAATAGGTTAAAACCAGCTATACTATTAGATACAATCATTGTATTGTCGAAGGCTTTCATGGCTGGAAACACTGGGTTGTGGTAGGTTTTTTGGGCTATATGGCCATGCTCTAGAAGCATTCTCTCCTGACGTTTCACCTGCATCTATGGCAAGCATCCTCAGAGGTTGTGAGGTCTCACAACCTCTGAGGATGCTTGCCATAGATGCAGACGAAACGTCAGGAGAGAATGCTTCTAGAACATGGCCATATCGCCCGAAAAAACCTACAACAACACAGATACAATTAAGTTTACCACCAAAAGCGTTAAGATACGTTCAGAAGAGTTTTCCCTTTGCCTTCTCAGAGGCTAAGGTCACATCTACACTGCTACATAATCCAGTTCCTGAATGCAGATTATCTGCTTTAAACTGGATTATATGAGTCTATGCTGTTTTATATCCCAGTTTCCGACTGCAGGCTTTCGTTCTTATTTTTCTGATTATGGCTTATATATTTTGCCTTGCATTTTGGATGGCACCAGTGTGTGGAGACAGCGCCTTAAGCATGAATGGATTAATGCCCAGTCATTCAGACTTTCAGCCACTCCGAAACACCAAAATCATCCAATCTGGGTTTAACCATTAACTATTTGTTGTTTTGTTCTAATATATTACTTTGGAATCATTTTATCAGAGATTCAGGGTGCATCTGCACTGTCAAATTAATACAGTTTGGCCCCTCTTGAACTGACTCAACTCGGTGCTATGGAATTCTGAGAGTTGTACTTAGGCGATCCCTTGTTGTCCGAGTAGGATAGTCTTCCAAGATCGGTGTCCTGGTGGTGGTTCCGTAGGTGACTGTGGAGGCCAATTCTTGACCTGCATCTTCTCCCGCAGTAAGGGCATCGGTTTCCAGGTGGAAGGCGGTCTTGGTTGGGGTTGGCTTGACGCGCCTTCCTCTTGGCACGTTTCTCTCTTTCGCCCTCTATTCGTGCCTCTTCAAATTCTACAGCACTGCTGGTCACAGCTGACCTCCAGCTCCACAATCACCTATGGCCAGGGCTTCCCAGTTCTTAATGTCTATGCCAGAGTTCTTAAGGTTGGCTTTGAGCCCATCTTTCAATCTCTTTTCCTGTCCTCCAACATTCCGTTTTCCGTTCTTGAGTTTGGAGTAGAGAAACTGCTTTGGGAGACAGTGGTCGGGCATCTGGACAACGGAGTTGATGGTGGAGGACCATCGCTTCAATGCTGGTGGTCTTTGCTTCTTCCAGCATGCTGACATTTGTCTGCTTGTCTTCCCAAGAGATTTGCAGGATTTTCCAGAGGCAGCGCTGATGGAAACGTTCCAGGAGTTGCATGTGATGTCTGTAGATAGTCCACGTTTCGCAGGCATATAGCAGGGTTGGGAGGACAATAGCTTTATAAACAAGCACTTTGGTCTCCCTACGGATGTCCCGGTCCTCAAACACTCTCTGCTTCATTCAGAAAAAAGCTGCACTTGCAGAGCTCAGGCGGTGTTGAATTTCAGTGTCAATGTTGACTTTGGTGGAGAGGTGGCTGCCAAAGGAGCAGAAATGGTCAACATTTTCTAATGTTACACCATTAAGCTGTATTTCTGGCACTGGAGACGGATTGGCTGGTGACGGCTGGAAAAGCACTTTGGTTTTCTCAATGTTCAGTGAGAAGCATACGAGCTTCTCGTAGGCTTCTGCAAAGATGTTTAGGGTAGCTTGTAGGTCTTCTTCTGAATGCGCACAGACAACATTGTCATCAGCATATTGAAGTTCTATAACAGTTTTACAAGATCTTTACCTTTCTCTGCAAATTGGTGCTGGAGCTTTCCCAAACTTCAACTCTAACCTATAGCATTTTGAGCCAGAGCAGTTCAAATGGTGTCAAAACTGCATTAAATACCATAATGTAGATGCACCATAATCAATTGGTCTCTATAGAAGATTAAAAGCCCTGAAGTGTTTCTTGAGTCTCCCTCCATCCATAATATTCTCTTTCCAAATATTTTCAATGTTGCTTTGCCTTGTTTAATGCTTCTTGTCACCCTGCAGGTTGTGGTGTCAACGACGGTGAATGTGGACGGCCACGTCCTTGCCGTTTCCGACAATATGTTTGTGCATAACAACTCCAAGCATGGACGGCGGGCACGGAGGATGGACCCCTCTGAAGGTACGGCAAACTACAAATCCCAGGATTCCAAATGAAAGGCCACTCCCATGCCCCATATAAGAACCTTTAACAGGTGTTCAAGGCCATGGAAAAAAAAACACACACACACACATATATAGCAAGGGTCCTTTAACCCTACACAGTTGCTGCTATGGCATCCTGGGATTTATAGTCTAGCAGAATGTATTTAGACTTTTTTTGGATGCATCTACACGAGTGTTTCTCAACCTTCCTAATGCTGCAACCCCTCAGTACAGTTCCTCTTGTCGTAGTGATCCCCAGCCATAACTTTCTTTTGCAAATTCATAACTGTAATTTTGCTGCTGTTATGAAACATAATTTGGGATTTGTAGTTGTTGGGATTTATGGTTCACCTACAATCAAAGAGTATTCTGAACTCCACCAATGATGGAATTGAACCAAACTTGGCACACAGAATGCCCACCACCACAGAAAACACTGGAAGGGTTTGATGGGCATTGACCTTGAGTTTCGGAGTTGTAGTTCACCTACAAAGAGCACTATGGACTCAAACAATGATGGATCTGGACCAAATTTGGCATGAATACTCAGTATGCTATATGTGAACACTGGTGGGGTTTGGGGAAAATAGGCCTTGACATTTGGGAATTGTAGTTGCTGGGAATTATAGTTCACCTACAATCAAATAGCATTCTGAACCCCACCAATGATAGAATTGGGCCAAACTTCCCACACAGAACACCCATGACCAACAGAAAATACTGTGTTTTCTGATGGTCTTTGGTGACCCCTCTGGCACCCCCTGGGGACCTCTCCAGGGGTCCCAACCCCCAGGTTGAGGAACACTGATCTACACGGTAGAATTAATGCAGTTCAACACCACTTTGACAACCATGGGCCAATGCTGTGGAATCATGGAAGTTGTAGTTTTGCAAGATCTTTCTGTCTTCCAAATTGCTAAGAAAACAGTCGCCCACCACTCCTGGTAAAGTGGGATCGAACTGCATTAATTCTATGGTATGGATGCATCCATAGTCTTGATTATTATGGGATGCATTTGTTGCCTCAGTTGCCTTTTTTTGTATCAAGCCATGGCTAAGGATGCTTGATGTCCGAAGCAATAAGCCAAGCATACCTCTGAGGATGCTTGCCATAGATGCAGGCGAAATGTCAGGAGAGAATGCCTCTAGAACATGGCCATATAGCCCGAAAAAAACCTACAACAACCCAATAAACCATGGTTTGTAATTATTGTGCCAAAATCCAACAATTATATAGTTTGGACATTTTATTTTCCTGGGGCTCAACTACACTATAAAATTAATGCAGTTTGACATCACTTTAGCTGCTTTAGTTCAATGCTACAGAGTCCTGGGAATTGTAGACTGACCTTATTGGCAGGAAGACCTTGTGAAATCATAGCTCCCAGCATTCCATTGCACTGAGACATAGCAGTTAAAGTGATATCGAACTGCATTAATTCTGCAGTGCAGATGCACCACTGGATGCTTTTCGGAACCAACTTCTCCAAACTTTGCCCCAGGACTTCACAATCTTTTCATAAATTATGCAAAAAACCCTCTTCTTTCCCCCCTCTAAATTTTGTGTAATCAGTTGGGCTGTGAGTGATTAATCACTTCAACTGAGAATCAAGGAAAGCTTTCTCGCTACTTAATTGGTGTGAGTAAATTTTTTATCAGCGGGAGGACCTATTAATTGGCGGGACCTCCAAACTGAGGAGGCCTGGTCCTGTTTTGGAGTCCTGCAGTTGCATCGTCTTGGTGTATGATTCAAAAATAGGAAAACGCCCAAGCAATGTTTTTCCTGGGGAGGGGGGGGGGGGAAGGTGCATCTACACTGTAGAATGAATGCAGTTTGACACCACTTTAACTGCCATGGCTCAATGCAATGAAATACTGGGTGTTGAAGTTCAATGAGGTTTTTAAGCTGCCCTATTTAGCAGGGAAGGCTAAATAAAGTCTTGCAAAAGTACAACTCCCATGATTCCATAGTATTGACCCATGGAAACTAAACGTGTCAAAATTGCATTAAATCTGTTGCGCAGAAGCGGATTTTAGCCAGGTCCCATGAAAAAAATACACAGGCAAGAGGAAAAAGGAACAGAAAAACTTATCAGCAGAGTCAATAAACCTTGACGAAATGGGAACCTTAGATCAGGCTGACCGTTTGGAATTCAGAGTTCGAAGGAGTGTGAGAATAGCTAACAAGAAGGAGGCCAGAGGCCAAAGAAACGCATTCATGTTTTGCAGTGTTGCATACAAAATCAAACAGTGCAACAAACTTACATAGTCCTGTAAGTAACACAGAATAAGGCCCAGAATTGGACACAATATTCCAGGTGTGGTCTAACCAAAGCGGAATAGAGAAGTAGTGCTACCCCTCTATTCCACCTTGGTTAGACCACACCTGGAATATTGTGTCCAATTCTGGGCACCACAATTCAAGAGAGATATTGACAAGCTGGAATGTGTCCAGAGGAGGGCGACTAAAATGTTCAAGGGTCTGGAGAACAGGCCCCATGAGGAGCGGCTTAAGGAGGTGGGCATGTTTAGCCTGAAGAAGAAAAGGATGAGAGCAGATATGATAGCCATGTATAAATATGTGAGAGGAAGCCACAGGGAGGAGGGAGCAAGCTTGTTTACTGCTTCCCTGGAGACTAGGACGCAATGGAACAATGGCTTCAAACTACAAGAAAGGAGATTCCATCTGAACATCAGGAAGAACTTCCTGACTGTGAGAGCCGTTCAGCAGTGGAACTCTCTGCCCCGGAGGCCCAGTTTACCTGTCCAAACATATCTCCCTCTGTGTCCCACCTCGAAGTTTAAGATCTTCTGGGGAGGCCCTGCTCTCATCCCCACCTGTGGCGCAAACATGCTTGGCGGGGACAAGGGACAAGGCCTTCTCGGTGGTGGCCCCCCGCCTGTGGAACTCGCTCCCCAGCGAAATCAGGTCAACAACATCCCTCCTCACCTTCAGGAGGAAATTGAAAACGTGGTTCTGTGACTGGGCCTTTGGGTAGTTTGTAGAAAATTGACAATGACAATAATGATAATGCTATGGAAGATGGACTATGGATAGGCTTCTGGTTGTGTTGTGTTCGCTGAATTCATTTCTAGATAAGGCTAGACAGCCAGTATTATTGTCCTTTTTATTATTGTACTTTTAGTTTTAAACAAATTTTTAAAAAACTAATTTAATGTATTATTCATATGTAATTACTGTATGTATTATTTGTATGTAATGGCAAGTCCTGGCACCATGTTTGGCTTGTAGTCCATACTCTAGGAGTTCTGCTTTTGCAAACCTTTCCAGGCATGGACCAACTTTGGCCGTCCCTCCAGTTGTTTTGGACTCCAACTCCCACAATTCCTAACAGCCTACCGGCTGTTAGGAATTGTGGGAGTTGGAGTCCCAAAACACCTGGAGGGATGGCCAAAGTTGACCCATTCCTGATTTATATAAAGAGTTCTAGGGTGTCACCAAACTGCAAATCTCTGGATTCCATAGCTTTGAGCCTGATGCCTTGTCTCTCCCCTTCCTTCCCAAAGCTGCAACGCCTTGCATCAAAGCCATCAGTCCCAGCGAAGGCTGGACCACCGGCGGGGCCACCGTCATTGTCATCGGGGACAACTTCTTCGACGGGCTGCAAGTGGTCTTTGGCACCATGCTGGTCTGGAGCGAGGTGAGCCCACTTCCAAGCAAAGAGATCCCACCTAAGCACGAGGAGGAGTTTCCCAATGGCTAGAGCCATTCAGAAGTGGAATACGCAGCAATGGAGGGTGGTAGAGTTTTCAAACAGAGGCTGAATGAACATCTGTCCAGAGGGTTTGGATTATGTCTTCCTGCACAGCAGAATGGGTTTGGACTGGGTGGCCTTGGCATGTCTCTTCCAACTCTAGGTCCTCATCTCAAAGCATGTTATAAATTTAAAAAGGGCTCTGAAAGGAGAGCAAGGAGGATGCCAGGCTGAACTCTAGGAAGGGCCTTTCAGACTCTGGAGCCACCTCCAAGAAGTCCCTGTTTCCCATGTTGCCAACAGATATCCATTGCCTCGCTTGTATTCCATGGCTGAAGCTCAATCTATACTGCCATTATAATGCAGATTGAGTTGGATTACACTATGTAGCAAAATTAGAAAAAGAAATCGTGTTCCTGGTTTCAAAGCATTATTTCCTGTTTAACTGTGTGATACTTACTTTGAGTGTAGTTGCACTACTCCAGAAACTTTGTTTTTGTGGCTGCCACAAACTAAGTTGAATTGGTTGAGGATCTGTGAGAGAATGCTTCACAGATTATTATTATTATTATTATTATTATTATTGCAGGATGTCTCTCTTGCAAAGACAAAGGGTTTTTGCAGTTGGGAAGGAGCTCGGGCCCCAAATTCGGTAAGGGAGGTCTCAGGAGAGAGAAGTTACGATTTATTATTTATTATCCTTAATGGTGCCACCAATTTGGTGATGTGAGGTAATTTTGGGAGATTGGGCACACTAAACGCAGAATTAATGGAGATGAGGCAGTTTTACAATCAAAGAGAACAAGTTTATTTTGAAACAAAGCGTATGGTTGCAGTTTGGTGATAAACTTGGAAAATACTTGGAGAACGTTACATATAACTTGGTTGCGATACAGTTCAGTCTTCTGATGTTACAACTTATAAATAACCTTTGCTGTGGTGAAGCACTTTATTAAACAATGGTTCCTGAGGTGAATAGTCTTCCTGTTTGACCCTTCCGTGATCAAACCTCAGATCTCTAGTTCACTTTTAACTAGTGATCTAAACGAGCTTCTATTAGTCTTCTCTAACTAATAAAACTAATAAGGTTTCCCCTTCAGCTTTCCCGAACTGAAGAAACCTCCGACTATTCACAAACACTGCTTCTCTACTTCCCACTCTCTCTCTCTCTCAACTCTTCACTTCCCTGAGCCTAAACCTAACTCTTCATTCCTCTGAGCCTCAACCCTGACTCTTCATGACTGTGCACTCTTCTGAGCCTAAACCCTAACTCTTCATGACTCTTCACTCCTCTGAGCATAAAACCTAACTGACTTTTAACTGTCGCTTTTCAAAACTCCCCTCTCTAAGCTCCTCCCACTTCTCTACAGCATTGTTTCCATGGTAACACACTCCTCACAGCTAGGCCGCTCCAGCATTAGCATGTTTCCATGGTAACACACTCCTCACAGCTAGGCCGCTCCAGCATTAGGGCAACCAGTGTAAACACAAATACAGTTATAATAATATCATTTACAATCAATACAGTTTATAATCATATCATTTACAATCAACTTCTGTACAGCAGTTTTATAAACTTTTCCCACACTTTTATGACAGAACCTATTAGGAAATGATATTTATAACACAGGAACAAAAATCATGTTGCATAGTATTAAATGGCATTGCAGACTCATATAGCCCAGATCAAAGCCGTCCATTCTGCATTATATGAGTCTCTACACTGCCTCTATAAAGCAGTTCAAACTACATTACATGACTGTGTAGGGTTGTGAAATCCATGGGGTGACCTTAGGAGCTGACGGTTGACTTGAAAGCAATGGAGATGGACAGTTCAAACTGGGATGTGGTTGGAATAGGAGAAAAAGTTGTCACAGGGCTGGGAAGGACTCCCTTTCATGCTTCCTTTTCCCCTTTTGAAATATCCCCCCTGCTTCCATTTAACTGTTTTCCTCCTCCTGTTTGTCCAAATTGTTGTTGTTTGTGATAATAACAATAACAACTCCCTCGACAGCTCATCACGCCCCACGCCATCCGCGTCCAGACTCCTCCGAGGCACATCCCGGGCGTCGTGGAAGTGACGTTGTCCTACAAATCCAAGCAATTCTGCAAAGGAGCCCCAGGACGCTTCGTCTACACCGGTACGGCACGTATGTGCATGAGTGTGTACACTTAGAACTTAGACATGCATGCATTGACTTCATTTATGTGTCACTTTTCTCCCAGACGAGGACCCAGGGTGGATATGGTCTTCCAGGTAGTCTGGACTTAAAACCTATAGCACTTTATGGGTCATAGCCAGCACTTTGAATTGTGACCCAAAACAAACTAGTCGTCAGTGAAGCTCTTTACATAATGGAATTATATGCTCCCAGTAACTGACTTTTCACCATAGTATTTTGCATCATTCAAAGTTTTCGAACAGTTTCCAAGGTTAGCACCATGTAGAGTGCATTGTAGTCGTCCAAATACGAATTTTAGATTTGGGGATTTGGCTTTCCTAGCCCATCATCCACTTCTTGTCATATCTGGGCACCACAATTGAAGAGAGATGTTGACAAGCTGGAACGTGTCCAGAGGAGGGTGACTAAAATGATCAAGGGTCTGGTGAACAAGCCCTATGAGGAGCGGCTTAAAGACCTGGGCATGTTTACCCTGAAGAAGAGAAGGCTGAGAGGAGACATGATAGCCATGTATAAATATGTGAGATGGGAAGTCAAAGGGAGGAGGGAGCAAGCTTGTTTTCTGCTGCCCTGGAGACTAGGACGCAATGGAACAATGTATTGGCCATCAAATGCTAATCAAGATGGTCATTTGACACATTCACACCTAGCTCCAACAGACAAGAGTTATTTGTCTCACCCTGGTCATTCCACAGATCTACAAACCCATTTTCCTAGTTCTAACAGACCTCACTGCCTCTGAGGATGCTTGCCATAGATGCAGGCGAAACGTCAGGAGAGAACGCCTCTAGAACATGGCCATATAGCCCGTAAAAAACCTACAACAACCCAATGAAACAATGGCTTCAAACTACAAGAAAGGAGATTCCATCTGAACATTAGAAAGAACTTCCTGACTGGGAGAGCCATTCAGCAGTGGAACTCTCTGCCCCAGTGTGTGGTGGAGTCTCCTGCTTTGGAAGCTTTTAAACAGAGGCTGGATGGCCATCTGTCAAGGGTGCTCTGAATGCAATTTTCCTGCTTCTTGGCAGAATGGGGTTGGACTGGATGGCCCAGGAGGTCTCTTCCAACTCTAGGCTTCTAGGATTCATGGTAGCCCATAATGAGACTGTAAGCACAATAATAACACCATGCCAGTAGAAGCTGGTAGAGGCCCCCATGTCCGGTCCTTTCTGGGTTTTAGTCCAATCTTTAAAAGAGCCATTCAAGGTGGTTCAATTGTTCTGAGGATCTTAGGTGCAGAACCTGTTCAGGTTCTGACTCAAACACAGAACAGTCCCCTGCTCTATTGATGCAGGATGCACCAGTCCAAACTGCATGAAACATACTAGACTACAGGGACTTACTTAGGTGATCCCTCATTGGCCGAGTCGGATAGTCTTCCAGTATCAGTTTTCTGGTGGGTCCGTAGGTGACTGTGGAGCCCTATTCTTGACCTGCGTCTTCTCCCACAGTGAGAGCATCGGTTTCCAGGTGGAAGGCAGTCTCAGTCAGGGTTGGCTTGATGCACCTTCCTCTTGGCACATTTCTCTCTTTCGCCCTCCATTCTTGCCTCTTCAAATTCTGCAGCACTGCTGGTCACAGCTGACCTCCAGCTGGAGCGCTCAAGGGCCAGGGCTTCCCAGTTCTCAGTGTCTATGCCAGAGTTTTAAAGATTGGCTTTGAGCCCATCTTTAAATCTCTTTTCCTGTCTACTGACATTCTGTTTTCCGTTCTTGAGTTCGGAGTAGAGCAACTGCTTTGGGAGACAGTGGTCAGGCATCTGGACAATGTGGCCAGTCCAGAGGAGTTGATGACGGAAGACCATCGCTTCAATGCTGGTGGGAAGACAAGCTGACGTTTGTCCGCTTGTCTTCCCAAGAGATTTGCAGGATTTTCCGGAGGCAGCGCTGATGGAATCGTTCCAGGAGTTGCATGTGATGTCTGTAGACAGTCCACGTTTTGCAGGCATAGAGCAGGGTTGGGAGGACAATAGCTTTATAGACAAGCACCTTGGTCTCCCTATGGATGTCCCAGTCCTCAAACACTCTCTGCTTCATTCAGAAAAATGCTGCACTCGCAGAGCTCAGGCGGTGTTGTATTTCGGTGTCGATGTTGACTTTGGTGGAGAGGTGGCTGCCAAGGGAGCGGAAATGGTCAACATTTTCTAATGTTACACCATTAAGCTGTATCTCTGGCATTGGAGAGGGATTGGCCGGTGACTGCTGGAAGAGCACTTGGGTTTTCTCGATGTTCAATGACAGGCCGAGCTTCTCGTATGTTTCTGCGAAGGTGTTTAGAGGTCTACGGGGACTAAGGAGAAGAGAATTACCAGGAAGAAATACTGTATATCGAGGTGGAGAGTGGGAACACGAGAAAGAAAGAGAAATAGGCGAGTTCGGAGAAAGATGTGTGCTGTCTCTCCTGCATACATGCATACATACATAAGTTCCCAGGGGAGCAGAGAGCAGGAACGAGGAAGATGCGTGATCCTTCTGCCGTGCAAATGGTCCGAGGGGATTCCTCCCCTCCTTTCCTCTTCGCCCTCCATTTCCAATTCATGAATTATCTATACCTATCGACCCACAGCAAGGGAGGACTTTGAGGGAAGGGGAGGAAGGGAGGAGAAAGAGGATTGATCCCTTGTAATAACGGTTCAGAACTCTGTAAATGACTTGGGACTTTTGTATCCCGATGGCCATCTGTTGGAAAGCTTTGATTGTGTCTTCCTGCCTGGTAGAAAGGGGTTGGACTGGATGGTCCTTGAGGTCTCTTCCAACTCAAGGTTGATTTCCTCCAAATTTCCTGCCTGAGCTTGGAAGCTAAGCAGGGACCACTCTGGTTAGTTCATAGATGGGAGACCACCAATGCATCCCAGGGGATGGAGGATCATTTTCAGAGGAAATGGCCAAAGCACTTCTGAATCTTCCTCGCTTAAGACAACCCTATGGAATTCATGGGATCGCCTATGGAATTAATAGGGTTGCCATTAATCAACAGGTAACTTCAAGGCACGTAAACATAGACGCCTTGAAGTCACCAGTCGACTGGTGACTTCAAGGCATCTATGTTTACGTGCCTTGAAGTCACCTGTTGATTTATGCCAACCCTATAAATTCCATAGGCTTCTATACACAGAATAAAATTTAAGTACCCTAAAAACACCAGCTCCCATCTGGTCTTGGAAGCTAAGCAGGGTCAGTCCTGTTTCGTACTTGGATGGGAGACTGACAACAAATACAAGTTTCAGACTGATGAAACCACCTTGGAGTAGCCCTTATTTAAGGAAAACCTATGACAGTCATGGATCTGCCCTGTCAACAGGCAGCTTGGAGGCACGTATGTACCATATAGCACAGAGCTTGTAAACCCACCTGATTTTGGAAGCTAAGCAGACTTATCCCTGGTTAGTGTTTGGATGGCCTTAAGTTTTTTCTGTTGGTCATGGACGTTCTGTGTGGAAAGTTTGCCCCAATTCTGTCATTCGTGGGATTCAGAATGCTCTTTGATTGTAGGTAAACTATCAATCCCAGTAACTACAACTCCCAAATGTAAAGGTCTATTTCCCCCAAACTCCATCTGTGTTCATATTTGGGCATATGGAATATTCGTGCCAAGTTTGGTCCAGATCAATCATTGTTTGAGTCCACAGTGTTCTCTGGATTTAGGTGAACTACAACTCCCAAGCTGGCTTCTCAGACAAGGGGAGGGCTATTTCTGAGACTCCAAGCGGGGAGAGGAGAGCAAAGGTCAAGGTCTGTTCTCCCCACATTCCACCAGTATTCACATTTGGGCATATTGGTCCACATCCATCCTTGTTTGAGTCCATAGTGCTCTCTGGAAGTAGGTGAACTACAACTCCCAAACTCAAGGTCAATGCCCACCAAACCCTTCTAGTGTTTTCTGTTGGTCATGGGAGTCCTGTGTGCCAAGATTGGTTCAATTCCATCTTGGTGGGGTTCAGAATGCTCTGACTGTAGGTGAACTATAAATCCCAGCAACTACAACTCCCAAATGACAACATTAATTTTTTGAGTGAAGGACATACATTGGGTTGTCAGGTGCCTTGTGTCCAAATTTGGTGTCAAATCGTCCAGTGGTTTTTGAGTTTTGTTAATCCCACAAACGAACATTACATTTTTATTTATATAGATATATGTATTTCTCTGCAGACTCTTTTGCTGGTCTGAGAGCACAGCCTCATTGCCGTTATCCCCATCCGCACTGCACTCCCATTCCATGCTTAATCCCGTGTGCTTTGGCCTGTGAAAGGCTTATGGGGGGGGGGCGTAAGGGGGGGGAATTGAAGCAGGGGGCGGCAAGCGGTAGAAAATCAATACCAATTACTGGTGCCCAGAACTGGAATTGCAGCATATGTTTACGCTAAATCAGGCAATCTATCTTCATCTCAGCCCCGTAATGAAGCATGCCAATCTGGGGGGGGGGGGGGGGGGCTTTGGCGGGGGGGGGGGGGGGAGAAGAGGGAGCAAGTGCCTCTTAGATGAATAACAGGTTTGGGGGCAAATGGAGAAAGGGGGGGGGGACCCTGAGTTTCTGTGCTGGGTGATATGGAGATGTATTGGACAAGGGAGGCGCATCAGAGGCAGAGCGGAGCATGCATGCCTCCCTCTGTGTGTACAGTTCTTGTCATTATTAGCATTATCTCCTTCGAAAGCAAGCCGTATGAGGACGGATGGGAGGGATCGGGCAATTTTGTCACCGCAGAGTCATGCAAGATTAAGCAAGGGGACGCAAAAGAGGCAAGCGAGTGGGTTTTTCAGCTGTGCCGGGGCCACCAAGAGCTGTTTTGCAAATGCAGGACCATTCCCAACAAATATATTGTAGGGTTGTTGTAGGTTTTTTCGGGCTATATGGCCATGGTCTAGAGCAGAGTTTCTCAACCTGGGGGTCAGGACCCTTGAAGGGGTCGTGAGGGGGTGTCAAAGGGGTCGCCAAAGACCATCAGAAAACATTGTATTTTCTGTTGGTCATTGGGATTCTGTGTGAGAAATTTGACCCAATTCTATTGTGGGTCGAGTTCAGAATGCTCTTTGATTGTAGGTGAACTATAAATCCCAACAACTACAACTGCCAAATGTCAAGGTCTATTTTCCCCAGACTCCACCAGTGTTCACATTTGGGCATATTGAGTATTTGTGCCAAGTTTGGTCCAGATCCATCATTGCATGAATGCACAGCACTCCTCTGGATATAGGTGAACTATAACTCCCAAACTCAAGGTCAATGCCCACCAAACCCTTCCAGTGTTTTATGTTGGTCATGGGAGTTCTGTGTGCCAAGTTCGGTTTAAATCCATCGCTGGTGGAGTTCAGAATGCTCTTTGATTATAAGTGAACTATAAATCCCAGCAACTAACTCCCAAAGTACAAAATCAATCCTCCCCCCAACCCCACTAGCATTCACATTTGGGCATATTGGGTATTTGTGCTCAATTTAGTGCAGTGAATGAAAATCCATCCTGCATATCGGATATTTACATTACGATTTATAACAGTAGTAAAATGACAGGTATCAAGTAGCAATGAAAACAATAATATGGTTGGGGGTCACCACAACATATGGAACTGCATTAAGGGGTCACAGCATTAGCAAGGTTGAGAACCACTGCTCTAGAGGCATTCTCTCCTGACGTTTCGCCTGCATCTATGGCAAGCATCCTCAGAGGTGGTGAGGTCTGTTGGAAGTAGGAAAATGGGTTTATATATCCGTGGAATGACCAGGGTGGGACAAAAGACTCTTGTCTGCTGGAGTTAGGTGTGAATGTTTCAACTGTCTTAATTAGCATTTGATTGCTTGACAGTGCCTCGGGGAATCTTTTGTTGAGAGATGATTAGATGTGCCTGATTGTTTCCTCTCTGTTGTTTTGCTGTTGTAATTTTAGAGTTTTTTTTAATATTGGTAGCCAGATTTTGTTCATTTTCATGTTGAAATTGTCCACATGCTTCTTGTGGATTTCAATGGCTTCTCTGTGCAGTCTGACATGGTGGTTGTGAGAGTGGTCCAGTATTTCTGTGTCCTCAAATAATATGCTGTGTCCAGGTTGGTTCCTCAGGGGCTCTGCTATGGCTGATTTCTCTGGTTGAAGGAGTCTGCAGTGCCTTTCATGTTCCTGGATTTGTGTTTGGGCAACGCTGCTGCGTTTGGTGGTCCCTATGTAGACTTGTCCACAGCTGCATGGGATACGGTACACTCCTGCAGAGGTGTCCTTTGTCCCACCCTGGTCATTCCACAGACATATAAACCCATTTTCCTAGTTCCAACAGACCTCACCACCTCTGAGGATGCTTGCCATAGATGCAGGCAAAACGCCAGGAGAGAATGCCTCTAGACCATGGCCATATAGCCTGAAAAAACCTACAACAACCCAGTGATTCCAGCCATGAAAGCCTTCGATAATGAATATATTGTAGTCATAGATCATTGGAAACTTCCCTATTTACCTGCATCTAATGCTCAGCTTCATTGGCTAAATTAAATTCCCCCTTTATTTTTATTTATCGTGTCAGGAGCAAACCAAACAGTTGTGTTGCATTTTTTAAACAAACAAACAGACAGACAGACAGACAGACAGACAAAACACAAAGTTTGCAAGCTTGGTAGTTGATTAAATGTCCTTTGACCAGTATCTGGCCACTTGGAGTGCCTCTGGTGTTGCCGCAAGAAGGTCCTCACTTGTGCATGTGGCAAGGCTCAGGGTGCATTGCGGCAGGTGGTCTGTGGTTTGCTCTTCTCCACACTCGCATGTTGTGGACTCCACTTTGTGGCCCCATTTCTTAAGATTGGCTCTGCATCTCGTGGTGCCAGAGCGCAGTCTGTTCAGCGCCTTCCAAGTCGCCCAGTCTTCTGTGTGCCCAGGGGGGAGTCTGTCATTTGGTATCAGCCATTGATTGAGGTTCTGGGTTTGAGCCTGCCACTTTTGGACTCTCGCTTGCTGGGGTGTTCCAGCGAGTGTCTCTGTAGATCTTAGAAAACTATTTCTTGATTTAAGTCGTTGACATGCTGGCTGATACCCAAAAAAGGGATGAGCTGGAGATGTCTCTGCCTTGGTCCTTTCACTATTGGCTGCTACTTCCCGGCGGATGTCAGGTGGTGCAATACCGGCTAAGCAGTGTGATTTCTCCAGTGGTGTAGGGCGCAGACACCCCGTGATAATGCGGCATGTCTCATTAAGAGCCACATCCACTGTTTTAGCGTGGTGAGATGTGTTCCACACTGGGCATGCATACTCAGCAGCAGAGTAGCATAGCACAAGGGCAGATGTCTTCACTGTGTCTGGTTGTGATCCCCAGGTTGTGCCAGTCAGCTTTTGTATGATATTGTTTCTAGCGCCCACTTTTTGCTTGATGTTCAGGCAGTGCTTCTTGTAGGTCAGAGCACGGTCCAGAGTGACTCCCAGGTATTTGGGTGCGCTGCAATGCTCCAGTGGGATTCCTTCCCAGGTGATCCTCAGAGCTCGGGATGCTTCTCTGTTCTTGAGATGAAAGGCACATGTCTGTGTTTTAGATGGGTTAGGGATCAGCTGGTTTTCCCTGTAATAGGCAGTTAGAGCACCTAAAGCTTCGGAGAGCTTCTGTTCAACCATCTCAAAGCTCCCTGCTTGAGCGGTGATGGCACGATCATCAGCATAGATGAAACTCTCTGTCCCTTCTGGCAGTGGCTGGTCATTTGTGTAAATGTTGAACATGGATGGGCAATTCCCCCTCATTAAGGTCTGCATTAGATTTGCATCATACGATCATCTTAGTGCTGAGCCAAAGCAAAAGGGAAAGCTGCTTCAGGAGTCCCTAGAGCTCCTCTTTAAGGGACATCACTTCTAATTAAATATCCCTGTCTCAATGCTATGTGTTCCTGGGATTTGTAGTTCAGTGAGGCATCAGCATTCTTAAACAGAGAAGGCTCAAGACCTTGTAAAAGTACAGCTTCCACAATCCCCTAGCAATTAAAATACATTCATTCTGCAACGTAGATGCAGCCCAAGGCTTTCTTTTCCATTGTTCTAAATTACAAAGAGTGCACTCTTTTGCCTTTGCGCATTACATTTGACAGCAAATGTAATGCGCAATACCGGCTGTTAGGAATTGTGGGAGTTGAAGTCCAAAATACCTGGAGGGCCGAAGTTTGCCCATGCCTGACTAGCTCCAATTTGGAAGCCTTTAGGAGCAGGGATTCGCTTTTAAAACCAGTTGCATTTGCACAACTGTTGTGCTTAAAGAACAATACTAAAATGTGTTTTTCAAAAGGAGAGTGAGCTTCTAGTTTATGTGTGGAATCATAAAATCATAGAATCCTAGAGTTGGAAGACACCGCATGGGTCATCCAGTCCAACCTCCTGCCAAGAAGCAGGAAAATCACATTCAAAGCACCCCCGGCAGATGGCCATCCAGCCTCTGCTTAAAAGCCTCCAAAGAAGGAGCTTCCACCACACTCCAAGGCAGAGAGTTCCCCTGCTGAACAGCTCTCACAGTCAGGAAGTTCTTCCTAATGTTCAGGTGGAATCTCCTTTCCTGTAGTTTGAAGTCATTGTTCCGCGTCGTAGTCTCCAGGGCAGCAGAAAATAAGCTTACTTCCTCCTCTCTATGACTTCCCCACACATATTTATCAATGGCCCTCATCATGTCTCCTCTCAGCCTTCTCTTCTGCAGGCTAAACATATTCAGCTCTTTAAGCCGCTCCTCATAGGGTTTGTTCTCCAGACCCTTGATTCGAGTCGCCCTCTGGACACATTTCAGCTTGTCAACATCTCTCTTCAATTGTGGTGCCCAGAATTGGACACAGTATTCCAGGTGTGGTCTGACCAAGGCAGAATAGCATGACTTCCCTAGATCTAGACACTAGACTCCTATATATATGTGTGTGTGTCTGTATATATCTGTGTTGATATTAAAGCAAAAGCCACCCAAATCAACTCTCTTTGTAGTTTGTTGTTTCCCATTGCATCCTCATGTCTTTTTCTTTCTGCCCATAGCCCTGAACGAACCCACCATTGACTACGGGTTCCAGCGTTTGCAGAAGGTGATCCCGCGGCACCCCGGAGACCCCGAGCGCTTGCCAAAGGTAGTGCTATTTCCAATTCCCTTTTGAGAAATTTCACCATGCATTTGATGTGTTTTCTCCCAGCAACTGAAATAGGGTGAGCTTTGGAAGAGAGAAGAATGTATCTGGCTCAGTAAGGTTTCACTTCGACCCCTTCCACACAGCTGTATAAAATCCACATTGAACTGGATTATATGGCAGTGTGGACTCAGATAATCCAGTTCAAGGTGGATAATCCATGATGGATTATCTGCCTTGATATTCTAGGTTATATTCTAGGTTACATGGCTGCATGGAAGGCAGCCCGGGTTGGAGTGGGTTTCCAACCAATTGTGTGTAGCCTGTTGTCGACCTTTGCAACCTGAAAGACGGTTGCATCTGTTAAGTAGGAAAATAAGGTACCACCTTAAAGTGTGGGGAGGCTAAATTAGCTGATTTATGAGGCCATAAAGAAGACTCCAGCAAAGCATTCCAGCGGGGAAGCATGCGGGGAATGCGGAAGTGCTTCATCAGCGTCACAGATGGACGATGAAAGCGACAGCTCCCCTGGCGGCCAGAAAGAGTTAAATAGCCTCTGTGTATGTCTATATATGTTTGTATGTCAAAAATTGGCATTGAATGTTTGCCATATATGTGTACACTGTAATCCGCCCTGAGTCCCCTGCAGAGTGAGAAGAAGGGCGGAATATAAAAGCTGTAAATAAATAAATAAATAAATAAATAAGGCAGTGACATCTCTGGCCCATCCCCTGTTTGGATATCAGCCAGCACTCCAACGCCTTAAATCAAGATGCAACTTCCTAAGATCTACAGAGATACTCACAGGAACACCTCAGCAAGCAAGAGTCCAAAAGTGGCAGGCTAAAACCGAGAACCTCACTCAATGGCTGATACCAAATGAGAGACTCCCTCCTGGGCACACAGAAGACAAGGCAACTTGGAAGGCGCGGAACAAACTATGTCCTGGCTTCACGAGATGCAGAGCCAATCTTAAGAAGTGTGGAGAAGAGCAAACCACAGACTACCTACTACAATGCAACCTGAGCCCTGCCACATGCACAATGGAGGACCTTCTTATAGCAAAACCAGACGTGCTCCAAATGGCCAGCTTCTGGTCAAAGGACATTTAATAGAACGGCAAGTTTGCAAAACTTTGTTTTTTTGGTTTTTTTCAAAGACAGTACAACTGCTTGGTTCGCTCCTGATATCTATATAAATAAAAATGTAATGTTCGTTTGTGGGATTAAGAGAACTCAAAAACCACTGGGGAATTGACACCAAATTTGGACACAAGACACCTAACAACCCAATGTATGTCCTTCACTCATAAAAACACTGAAAAACACAGCAGAAGGGACTTAAAAGCCCCAAAAAGCTAAATGACGAAAAGCTAAATGACAATACAGAAAAAAGGAAGAAAGAGAGAGGGAAGGGGAGAAAAAAGAAAGAGAAAGAAAGAAAAAAAGAAAAAGAAAAGAAAGAAGGAACAAAAGAAAGAAGGAAAGAGAGAAGGAAGGAAGGAAACAAGCAGAGAAGGAAGAAAGGAGAGAAAGAGGGAGGGGAAAAGGGGGAAGGAAGGAAAGTTAGAGAAGGAAGGAAGGAGATAAAGAAAAAAGGGAAAGAAGGAAGGAAAGAGGGAGCGAAGGAAGGGGGAAAGATGTAGAGAAAGAGGGAGGGAAGGAAAGAGAGAAGGAAGAAAAGGGAGACAGCAGAAGAGAAAGAAAAAGGGGAAAGGAAGAAAAGAGATAGAGAAGGAAGGAAGAAGAGAAGGAAAGACATGAAGGAAGGAAAGAGGGAAAGGAAGGAGGGAAAGAAGGAGAGAAAGAGGGAGGGAACGAAAAAGGGGGAAGGAAGGAAAGTTAGAGAAGGAAGGAAAAAAGGGAAAAAAGGAAGGAAAGAAGGAGCGAAGGAAGGGGGAAAGATGTAGAGAAAGAGGGAGGGAAGGAGAGAAGGAAAGAGAGAAGGAAGAAAAGAGACAGCAGAAGAGAAAGAAAAGGGGGAAAGGAAGAAAAGAGACAGAGAAGGAAGGAAGAAGAGAAGATGGGAAGGAAGGAGGGAGTAAAGGAAGGAGGGAAAGAAGGAGAGAAAGAGGGAGCGAACGAAAAAGGGGGAAGGAAGGAAAGTTAGAGAAGGAAGGAAGGAAGGAAGGAAAGAGGGAGCGAAGGAAGGGGGAAAGATGTAGAGAAAGAGGGAGGGAAGGAAAGAAGGAAAGAGAGAAGGAAGAAAAGAGAGACAGCAGAAGAGAAAGAAAAAGGGGAAAGGAAGGAAAGAGATAGAGAAGGAAGGAAGAAGAGAAGGAAAGATGGGAAGGAAGGAAGGAAGGAAGGAAGGAAGAAGGAGAGAAAGAGGGGAGGAAGAAAAAGGGGAAGGAAGGAAAGAGAAGGAAGGAAGGAAAGAGGGAGAGAAGGAAGGGGGGAAGATGTAGAGAAAGAGGGAGGGAAGGAAAGAAGGAAAGAGAAGGAAGAAAAGAGAGACAGCAGAAGAGAAAGAAAAGGGGAAGGTAGGAAAGTTAGAGAAGGAAGGAAGAAGAGAAGGAAAGAGGGAGTGAAGGAGGGAGGGAAAGAAAGAGAGAAAGAGGGAAGGTTGGCCACAGCAAAGCGTGGCGGGTACAGCTAGTGATAAATAAATAAAAAATAGTATTTCATCCTGCCCTTATTTGATCCTTTCAGAGGTATATCTTTTGGTGGAACTAGAAATGCTAATCTATGTGGATCTTGTATTCCTACATAATACAGTTGATGATCAAGGGTCTGGAGAACAAGCCCTATGAGGAGCGGCTTAAGGAGCTGGGCATGTTTAGCCTGAAGAAGAGAAGGCTGAGAGGAGATATGATAGCCATGTATAAATATGTGAGAGGAAGCCACAGGGAGGAGGGAGCAAGCTTGTTTTCTGCTTCCCTGGAGACTAGGACCCGGAACAATGGCTTCAAACTACAAGAGAGGAGATTCCATCTGAACATGAGGAAGAACTTCCTGACTGTGAGAGCCGTTCAGCAGTGGAACTCTCTGCCCCGGAGTGTGGTGGAGGCGCCTTCTTTGGAGGCTTTCAAACAGAGGCTGGATGGCCATCTGTCAGGGGTGCTTTGAATGCAATATTCCTGCTTCTTGGCAGAATGGGGTTGGACTGGATGGCCCATGAGGCCTCTTCCAACTCTTTGATTCTATGATTCTATGATGCAAGTGGTGCAAGAGCTATTATATTCCACAGACTTCGGAAATGATGGGACGCAGGTGCTGGGAGTGGGTCGGTTCTCCACCTGCGTGCCTCTCTTTGCAAGTACAATCACCGGCTCAAAGGAGACCCTTCAAGTGGACTGGGGTGGTGGCTGTTTTCTTCCTCTGTCCTTGTCCGAAGCGTCGCTAATGCCTCTGGGCAGGGAACAGATGCCGGGGAGAAGGGAGGACCTCAGATGGAGAGTGACAGCAGGAAGCGCACACCAAATTGGAGCCATTTATCACAGGATGACAAGCCTGCCGTGGCGACAACAGACCTCTCCGTAGCCCTGGCTCTGAAAATGGGGTGCTACAGCCGGATCAGGGGCTATTAGGAAAAGTTATATGCTTTGGTCCAGAGTTATCATAATCCTCCACTCCTTTGGCAACCCTGATGCCTAAATTTTGTCAGAATCTTAAAGTTGGGAGGGATCCTCAAAGGTCTTCCAGTCCAACCTCCTTCTGCTCCACAGCAATCCACAATCCAAGCCTTCCTGACAGATGGCCATTCAAACTCTTTTGAAAATAAATCCAAAGAAGGAGACTCCACCAGACCCCAATCATAGAATCAAAGAGTTGGAAGAGACCTCATGGGCCATCCAGTCCAACCCCATTCTGCCAAGAAGCAGGAATATTGCATTCAAATCACCCCTGACAGATGGCCATCCAGCCTCTGTTTAAAAGCTTCCAAAGAAGGAGCCTCCACCACACTCCAGGGGCAGAGAGTTCCACTGCTGAACGGCTCTCACAGTCAGGAAGTTCTTCCTCATGTTCAGATAGAATCTCCTCTCTTGTAGTTTGAAGCCATTGTTCCATTGTGTCCTAGTCTCCAGGGAAGCAGAAAACAAGCTTGCTCCCTCCTCCCTGTGGCTTCCTCTCACATATTTATACATGGCTATCATATCTCCTCTCAGCCTTCTCTTCTTCAGGCTAAACATGCCCAGCTCCTTAAGCCGCTCCTCATAGGGCTTGTTCTCCAGACCTTTGATCATTTTAGTCGCCCTCCTCTGGACACATTCCAGCTTGTCAATATCTCTTGTCAATTGTGGTGCCCAGAATTGGACACAATATTCCAGGTGTGGTCTAACCAAAGCGGAATAGAGCATGGGGAGCATGACTTCCCTAGATCTAGACACTAGGCTCCTCTTGATGCAGGCCAAAATCCCATTGGCTTTTTTTGCCGCCACATCACATTGTTGGCTCATGTTTAACTTGTTGTCCACAAGGACTCCAAGATCTTTTTCACACGTACTGCTCTCGAGCCAGGCATTGTCCCCCATTCTGTATCTTTGCATTTCGTTTTTCCTGCCAAAGTGGAGTATCTTGCATTTGTCACTGTTGAACTTCATTTCGTTAGTTTTGGCCCATCATCTCTCTAATCTGTCAAGATCGTTTTGAATCCTGCTCCTGTCCTCTGGAGTATTGGCTATCCCTCCCAATTTGGTGTCGTCTGCAAACTTGATGATCATGCCTTCTAGGGATCCCCAAAGGCCATCCAGTACAGTCCGATTCTGCTACAGAGAAATCCACCATTCAAGCTTTCCTGACAGATGTCCATTCAGCCTCAGTTGGAAGAAAACTCCACTAGATTCTCAGGCAATCTGTAGCCCATTAGAGTTATTATTCATTCTTTACAGCATTTCTACCCCGCTCTTCTCACCCCCACAGGGGGACTCAGAGCAGCTAACAATGGCAACGATTCAATGCCGCAATAATTACAATTATAAAAGCAAAATAAAATCATACAATATAATACATTAAAACAACATTAGTTATCCAATCATAAAGGCATTTCCATTATAACAACCG